GAGTTCCTGGCGCAAAAGGCCCACCGGCCGGAGAAGGGTAAGCAGAGAATGGCTGATGTGGCGCGCGCGCGCGCATTGATTTTCAAGTGCCCTGTTTCTTTTGGAGTAGATTTGTTGTACGTGAACAAACAAGACGCGGAACGGGACATGCTCCCTTTTCTCTCGAGTCGAGGTTGCCACCAGGTGTCTGTCGTGAGAGGTCATCACCCGTGCCACCGCAAAGGATCAAATTTCACTTTGTTGGTCTGAAAATTATTTATTGACGATACATCATGCAGCTTTGTTCATCAATTGAGTCTTTACATTCTATTTAATTAATTGTCATGACTGTATGGTTTGTTTTTTTTGATAAGTTACAGTATCCTAGCACACCAAATAAAAATATGAAAGTTTGTTTCGTTTTTTTCGGGCAGACTGAAACAAATTAAGTCATTCGGTGCCAGCCATTTTCAAACCTACCACGTGATTTTATTATTTTGTTTTAAATACATAAAGACGTACCTGGTACTGATTGCCTGGATTCCTAAAAAAAAATGAAAAAAAATGTCCATGGCACTGAATGAGATCAGAGCATTTGAATTCAATTCATTGGGCAATGTTGATTAGCGATGTGCAGGTTTTGCGTTATGAGCAGGGCCTGACTGGTGTCAATCATCTGATATGAACCTTTTTAAAAATCTGCACAAAAATGTTTGACTGATTTCCCCCCCTTCACATTAACTCTTTACCACAGAAGACAAAGATAATATTAACCCCACCCCAAAAAAAACTGATTTTTCTCCCATGTAAATTTTATTCGTCTTTTTTTTTTAATTGGGTGTGGAATAGTTTATCAGAATTTTAATTTGCCAATAACAGGATAGTCCTCCCCCCCCCACTGGAGGAGAGTAACACGCACTTTCTGAAGTCTGGAGTGATGTCAAGTTTTCATCACAGCAAAAAAAAAAATAAAAATACCCTCCACCTTAATAATCCATCTACTCTAGTAGTTGCCGAGTCGTGTCCCAATAAGGCACAAGTTCGACTCGTCACAGTTTTGATGTGCGATAAAGCCA